CCCCTCCCCCCCCCATCCCCAAAAGTTTCTCAGCGGATTTGGGCTGTACTCAGCACGTGCGGTACAGCCCCCAACTCAGATTTGAAAAGAACTCAGTCCTCCATCCCCAAAAGTTTCTCAGCGGATTTGGGCTGTACTCAGCAAGTGCGGTACAGCCCCCAACTCAGATTTGAAAAGAACTCAGTGGATGGTTGTTTTCTGACTGGTCGGCAAACCTCCGACTGGTCAGACCTACTGGTCGGCTGCAATACGGTCGGCAGTCGGGGTCGGGGTCAGTGGTCGCAGGTATCCAACCCTGGTATACACTACACAATTTTCTTCTCTCAGTATTGATTCAGTGTCACACTAGCTACCTTCTACCCACATACGTAGTATGGCGACCTTCCACATCTATGTACCAGTCCACCCACCCCTAGCGACGGATGGAAGGGACGACACCTGGAATACTCCCCTTCCAACCAACCAGGTGGGGCAAGCTGACTATCTCTGCTGGTGAACCTGCAACGATCATACACTATATCATTTCCTGTCTCACATTGGAAATGAAAAACAAGCTGTGGCTCAAGCGCAGTGTTTTTACCTGAATTCCTGGCGGCAGGCAGTCTGGAGCCGGTGCAAGGCTGCTTAAAAAATTCCCTGACAGATCAAGCATTCTCAGGCTGTGACAGGAAGCTAAGTTCGGGAGTGTCGAAATGTGATTGCAAGAGAGATCCAGGACACGGAGGCGTGTCAAGGAATGGAGGCCATCAATGGACGAGATGTTGTTATTATGGAGGTATAGCAGCTCGAGCATGGAACAGCCCTCCAGACCACTTATCTGTACAATTGAGTTGTCATTAGCCTGCAACATGAAAAGAGAATGCAGAACGAGCACACAAAGGTTTTAATACTCGACATCCTTCAATGACTTCTTCATATAGACAACTGGACATGCCTGCCCCATGACTGAGCGGTATACACATGTAACTGCCACATACAGCTGATAAAGACACCAAGAGTTCAATTCGTGTTCATAGCATGATGTTTCATGCTTGCCCCACTTCAAAGAAAAGAGGGAAAGACACAGTCATCATTAATTGAGTGCTAATCGAGCATGGTGAGTCGGTGACAAACGAATGAAATTGCAAGTAAGCTCAATGATTACCAAATATCTTTGCCAAAGTAAGGTTGTCCCTTGCCTTCTCCAATGTCTCATATGCCAGGCCCTTTTGCATCCCAATCCATCACTACGACTTCCAACTCCGGTAGATATTGTGCTGACGGGTCATGAGGTTCGCACTTCACAACTGTGGGAAAATCCAGGTGATGGTAACATTTTTGTCAAAATGGTACAGCTGGTGGAAGGCCCCATGTTTGCACCAGGCAGTCCTGGTATACGGAGAAGGGCACAGAAATCGCCTGTCATATGTAACTGAGAGGTCAGCATTACGCTAGACGTGACAATAGGGTGTGGGTGAGCTGAAAACTGCTGCAGGCGAGGCTGAGGAGACATTGAACCCTCGGCTCACGCGGAGAAACTTGATTGAGGGGACATGATGTAGCACCAACTGCAGATACAAGGTTGTGGATTGAATAATATACAGCAGTCAAGCAGAGTTTTGCTTCGTTTTATACTTGAAGCTCTATCACAGCGTTCATTCTGTGCTTGCCAGTGGTGTTCCACATGATCTGAATGATTGCTAGGTAGTGTCAAGTGGTGAACATCAGAGTGCAGTCTTCTGAGAAATAATAATAGAAAATCTGAAAATGTACATTCTGGGTGGTGTTATGTGTGATATGAAGGACCTGTACATAAAGCTAAGTAGTGTCAAGTGGTGAACTCGGAAATGCAGTCTGACCAATAATCACAGAAAAAATGTAGACTATGGGTGTGAGAAATTGTGTCCCAATTTAACTGAAACACTTCATTTCAGCGAAGCTATGATCATTTGTGTGTGGACTGCTCGACCTGAAACCCTTACCACTAAGACTGCAGTTGAGGGCTGGTTGTGGCAAAGTGGGCCCGAGTTATTGGTCCGCACCATGGATTTGTGCTTCAGTTGTGAAAGCGTTCTGCATCATCGAGATCTATGCCCTGCAAGTTTGTGAGGTGTTATACACAAACATCAACAATATTATTCATCTGTAAACTGCCACATCATTGCCCACAGAAACAGCCTGAAAGTGAAAAGATAGCAACAAAGGACAACAAAAATGGGGATAATACGGGGTATGAAATTATAAGTTTAACTTCTAACCAACTGCTGGCCTAGCTCAATTGGTACACCTCCTGAACTGTTAAAATACAGACCCGAGTTCGAACTCCGCTGGAAGCGGACGAGTGACTACAGTTCTGAATTACCAGCGCCGGTCAGTTCAAATGACGATATCTCAACACCGTAGCCCTTACACACACAAAAAAAAAGGCGCTATTCCATTCAATCTGCTTAGGTCAAAGGTTTCTGAAGTGTTCTGTTGATGCAATGCTTTCAGGACTACATATATCTCCATGTCCACTATTCTTGAGGCAGGAAAAGCGGCAGTTGGAAAATCATGAAGACATCAAATGTAATGACAATGGCACCAGGGAAGCAGAGGGAAACGTACAACATGGTTCACCTCTGCTGCATTCTCACACATGAAACAGCTGTTAGCAGTTCTCTATTCCTTTCTATAAATAGATTGAGAGGTAACAACTGATATTTTGTGTTACAGTAAAACATAGTATGCTATTATACCACCCCCTACATAATACCAGCGTACTAGATGCCATGTCTGCTTGATGACAAAATTCTTGAGAGAACTGTCATCGATACACATTTTGTACAGACCTCATCCACTCCAACCAAACAGAGGAAGACGGGCACATGGACGACCTGAGAGGACACCAGAGCACCCTCGCTGACCCACAAAATGCAAAAAAAGCCAAAAAGACCGGGAACATGATGTAGCCAATTGTACAGCCAAGTTGCCAACAGAACACTGGAGCTTAAGACTTGAACCAACGAAACAACAAAAACAGAAGAAAACACTGACAACAACAAGATTGTGTTTATTTGCAACAGAAATACATTACATGACTGCGTACCGCATCAGCTTCCTGCACTGAATGCCGGGCACCACAGCGTGGACAGCTTGCTGGGCAAGCCATGGCCCCAGTCATTTGGGCTGGAGCTTCCAGACCTAACTGCATCCTGGGTTGGTGCTCTTAAGTCTGGGAGAGAATTATTGTCCCATCATGACTCCATGACTGAAATTTGGAGAAAACTTTCAACAAACTGCGTAAATGATACTTGTGCAGCAAACTGCACAACAAGATAGAGTCAGACAGACAGGAATAAACTGAGGGCTGACTAGCAATCTTAATCTTGACGACAGTCCCTTTGGACAGACAGGAATAAACTGAGGGCTGACTAGCAATCTTGGCGACGGTCCCTTTGGACAGTTCCGAGTAACAACAGGGAGAAATGGATCACTACCCGATGCTTCGCGATGAGTGGGGAAATGGGAGTTACAGTTCATTTTGAAACTATAAACCAGGAGACTTCTATACAGGCACAGAGAGAGGCAAAGTCTGTGAATCGGAAGGCAGTGGAAAAAGGAAACTATCACAGGCGAAGACGTGAGGGGCGATACACCTCTCCAAAGGGAGGTAATCAATGCTACCCAATACCTGACTTGTAAAACGCTCAATAGAGCACGTGGCCATGAACCTCCCATAAACACTTTGGAGATACTGCCCCATGACCATGGTTGAAAAAGGTCAACCTCATTAACTTTCCTATTCCTTCCTACAGCTTGCAGGCAAATGATATTTGCGCAGAAAAATGCACAACAAGATAACGTCGGACAGAGGGGAATAAACTGAGGGCTGACTAGGAATCTTGGCAACAGTCCCTTTGGACAGTTCTGCGTAACAACAGGGAGAAGCGGATCGCTAGCCGATGCTTCGCGATGAGTGGGGAAATTGGAGTTGATTCAGTTGAGTTTGAAACTAGAAACCAGGAGACTTCTATACAGGCACAGAGAGAGGCAAAGTCTGTGAAATGGAAGGCAGTGGAAAAAGGAAACTACCACAGGCAAAGATTGAGGGGCGGTACATCCTTCCAAAGGGAGGTGATCAATGCTGCTGTCTCGGATCTCTCAACTGTTAAAAAAAGAAAAAAGAAAAGATGGGACTACCCAATACCTGACTTGTAAAGAGCATGTGGCCATGAACCTCCCACAAACACTTTGGAGATACTGCCCCATGACCATGGTGAACTCTCCCATTCCTTCCTACAATACCTGACTTATACATTAAAATATAGCATGTGGCCATGAACCTCCCATAAACACTTCGGAGATACTGCCCCATGACCATGGTGAACTCTCCTATTCCTTCCTACAGCTTGCCATGCACCACCTTGTGTGATGATTCTGCTTCAATGATGCTGCTACTATTTTGACCCGTTGGTTTGAGAGGCAGACGTGCTGGCTGTGGCCAATACCCTGCTCATCAGAATCTTGTTTTGCTAATCTCTCGTGGGACTAGTCTGTCTAAGTCATGCGTGAGAGTTGTACTGCCTGCTTCCACCTTTGTTTGATGTCATGCAAAGCAAATACTTGTATTGCCTCTCACTCGGTTTCCTCTTCCCTTTCCCGACCCCTGTCCCCTGCTGAACAGAATCTGGTCTTCCCTCGTGGAATCTCTCTTCTACCTGTTTCCCCTTGCTTAATTTTTCACAAAGCAAGTACAGTTGTCACCATTCATTTCCCCTTTTGCTTTCCTGACGTCCTTCTGGTTCCTCAATCCATCAACCACCAAACCAGCATTACATGAGAGACGCAGGAGATAAAGTCCGAACTTACTCCCAGTAGGCAACACCAAACTTGGTTGTCTTCTTTATCAACGGCTGCTATGCCAGCCCAACTCAACATGCAGGTAAGCCTCTCTCTCTCTCTCTCTCTCTCTCTCTCTCTCTCTCTCTCTCTCTCTCTCTCTCTCTCTCTCTCTCTCTCTCTCTCTCTCTCTATCTCTCGCAATGGTGCCCTCTACTGTCGAGTCTCTCTCTCTCTCCTCCCTCTCCCTCCCTCAGTCGCCACTCCAACGCACAAGACCATAGCAGCACTTTCACGTTGCATGCGAAGCATAATTTGTTGATGTCCAGACGGTGCTGAACTTTTATAATTGTCGATCCACCTTCCCGACTTTTTCTGCTGGTTATGAGTTTGTTTCGTTGCCTTCGTTTGCTGCTTCCAGAAGTTCAGATTTTTCCTTGAATCTGGCTGCTTGACTCGGCCGACTGACACTTGCCTAATGACTTCTGCTATCTTGGCTGATACCTTGTTGTGCCTAAATAAAAAGAGACTTTTCAACCCATAACTGTTGTCCACCAGGGACTTCGTACCACGCATTACTGAAACTGACCTACCTAGGCATTTGTAATCATTGTATCTGGGACTTCTACATAGGCATGTGTAATCATTGTACAAACGAAAGCTACTCTTCATAAACATTCATGAACATTGTACCGGTGGCTAGGGCCACAAATGGAACATAGAGAGAGACTCAGGGCTAGGACTCGGAACTGGGACTTAGGACTGGAACTCAAGCCAGAACTTGGGCTGGAACTCGAGCTAGAACTTGGGACTGGAACTCAAGACTGGGACTTAACACTGGAACTCCAGACTGGGACTTGGCTAAATTTGAGGTCCTCCCAGAATAACATTACCTTTACCTGTCTGAATATCTGATCCCCCTCAGAGCTTGTAATGTGACAGGATTCTGGGCGCAGTTTCAACTAACTGTTCCTTGGGAAAGCATATCTCCTCCTCTGGATCTTGATACTGCCATACGTCCTCCTCTGGATCTTGATACTG